AAGGCAAATGGCGAAATTGTTCTCCCATCCAACGTGGTACGTATCCCATCTGGGAGAGCGGAATTCACAGATTTCGAAATTTCGTTCCTAGCAGGTCAACTAAACCATGTTGCCTCCCTCATTAGATTCACGAGAAGCGCCCAATGAAGGTTAAGAATTTCGGCATCTGGATTCGTTACGATTCGCGTTCCGGCACACACAACATGTACAAGGAATATCGAGAAATGTCGCGGACTGATGCCGTCCAGTCTCTCTACCAGGATATGGCCGCCCGCCATCGTGCCAGATTCGGCTCCATCCACGTATGAAATATTCACCACGCCCAATCGTCTATCTTGCTGTATTAACATATCCCCTTTTTCTAGATCCTGAAAGTTGTCGAGATCGAGAAGTCCGACCTCATCCGACGACCATACATCAAGCAGCTCCTCACCAAGAATCTCAAGTTCCCTCTCCCCCACCGCGTCCCCAAGGCAACCACCAAGAAGCTATTTGCAGCCCAAAGACCTTCAACTTTTGCTTAGGTGGATATGGGGGGTTTTGTTGACGTGGAAAATGCGGGCAGCGGGATATGAATGAATTTCGTTTATCGCTACTTGCATTTGTATGCTGGACATGTGGATCGGTTGAAACGTATACTACTACGTTATCTCCAGGATTCAGCTGTTCTTCTTTTAGTCTCTGGAGCAAAACCTTTTTTCAATTTTATAATCTCTTCAAAATTTCATGATAGTCCCAATCGGTTATTTCTTTTTGACTTCATCGCATGATCGCTACAGTAGAAGCAGTAAGAACCTAGCAGTTTTCATAATATAAATGTCGGCGATATAAACCTTTTTTGAGTAGTTCCTAGTGCAGTTCAAAAATAAGGTCGCCAAGGAAGACCTGGGAATTTGTGTGGCAGATTTTCCATGCCATTGCGTCATGGTTGCTGTCCCACGGCAGGCTCGGGTGCTCTCTCTATAGCACGCCACCAGACCTCAACCACGAATCAACCCCATATCAACCATTCATCCATCAGCCTTCTCATTCTACATCCATTGGTTCTCCGGATACATCGATTTCCGGCCAGAATGTTTGCACGATATACGTTCCGATCCCCCCAGCCTCTGGCACAGGTGAGTGGACTCTACAAACAGCATCAAATGTTGCTGCTATTAGCCACGCTGCTGACATTTTGCTCCAATTGCGCATAGGGCCTACGAAAATATTCCTCGGAAGCTCCGGCTAAATCATCGCGAGCTCCTCTAATTGGGGGCCTTGTTCTTGCGGCCGGCGGAGGATACTACTACTGGCAAACTACTTCTGCAAAGTCAGTCCCTGAACCGAAGGAGCGCAGCGCAGTCTTCAAGGGAGGGGACCAGGGATGGGTTGGCTTGAAGCTCGCCCACATCGACAATGTTAGCCATAACGTCAAGAAATTCCGCTTCGAATTTGAGGACCCCGAGAGTGTTTCTGGTCTCCATGTCGCTTGTATGTTCCATCCCCGTTCCCGGAACAGTAGGCTGACTCACGAATGTCTGCGGCTAACCTGATAATTCTCGAAACAGCCGCCATTTTGACCAAGTATAAGGGTCCAACCGACGAGAAGCCGACAATTCGTCCTTACACTCCTGTTAGTGAAGAAAGTATGTAGAACAAGGAATCCAAATTCTGGCCACTTTGACAAGAAATTGCTAATCCAACAATTTACAGGCCAACCCGGCTACCTTGAACTGCTGGTCAAGCGATATCCAAATGGCCCGATGTCCAACCACCTTCACAACATGGCAGTTGGCCAACGCCTTGATTTCAAGGGCCCTGTTCCCAAATACCCTGGGAAACTAGCAAGCATGATCACATCTGCCTGATTGCCGGGGGAACTGGCATCACGCCCATGTATCAATTAGTCCGCAAAATTTTCAGCAACGCAGATGACAAGACCAAAGTGACCCTGGTCTTCGGAAACGTCACTGAGGAAGACATCCTTCTGAGAAAGGAGATTGAGCATCTCGAAAACACCCACCCCCGTCGTTTCCGCGCATTCTATACCCTCGACAAGCCGCCTCAGGACTGGCCCCAGGGAACCGGCTTCATCACCAAGGAACTACTCAAGACCGTGCTTCCCGAACCAAAGACGGAGAATATCAAGATTTTCGTATGTGGGCCACCGGGCATGTACAAGGCTATCAGCGGGCCTAAGGTCAGTCCAAAGGACCAGGGTGAACTGTCTGGTATCCTGAAAGAGCTTGGATATAGCAAAGAGCAAGTCTACAAGTTTTAGACTCTGTTAATTAGACACGAGCTGGCAAGGGTAGACTTTTCGTGTGTTTTATCATTAGATTTAGAGGGAATTATAGGCCATTTTTTTCCTTCTTGTCTTGTATCTATATTGTTTTGACTTTCTAGATGACGTGATAGTGCAATTTTCAATGTCATTGTATCTGAGCATATTCAATTGCTGCCTTTCTATCACATTCTCTTTGACTGACATACCTAAACTGGCTAGCAGAACTATGAATTTCACATTTGATTCTATTTGATTTAATTGCTACATTTCTTAGCATTAGTAGACTAGCCGTGTGACCGTGTCTGAGACCAGAATCAAACTTTACAGTGATTACATTGCTTAAAAGCATTACTTCTAATCACACTTTATATTTATTATATTAATTTCAAATCACTTTATTTCAAATATTGAAAGTTTCAGATTCACTTTTCAAATAAAAATTTAATTTCAGATAAAGAATATATTTAAATTTTTAATTATATTTTTATTCTGATTTCATTATTAAGAATAATATTAAATGAAATTATGAAATTATTTCTCACTTATATAATATTATAATAAAATACTCATTTATTAAAAATTTAATAAAAAGTATTATTAAATATTATTATTTTTTTAAATACAGTTAAAAATTTAATTAAACTTACTTATATTATAATTTATATTATTTACACTTTTAAAAAAAATTACAGAAAAATTACAATGAAAAAAAAAAGAAAAAGAAAAAAAAAAGAAAAAAAAAGAAAAAAATTAAAATTTTAAACTTATAATATTTTTAAAATACTCACTTCTTAAGAGTTTTTATAATATTTATTATTAACTGTATATTTTTTATAATAAGAATAATATAGCTGTAATAAATTATTATTTAAATATTATTTAATAAATAATCAGTATATATTTATATAAATATAAATAATTAAAAAAATATATACTTAAAAAATATAATCAGAATGAATTTAACTGATATTTAAATTATATTAAAATTAATAATTTCTCTTATTAATTTTATAAACAAAATATATAAAAATAATTTTAAAAAATATAAAATTTTTCAATTTCTGATAAAAATAAATTTTATAAAAAAAACTTTATTTTCAAAATATTAAAAACTGAGTATTATTAAAAAGTATTATTTTTATATAATATATATATACTTACTAAAGCATTTTACTTTTTATATATATAATACAGTGTTTATTAAAATGCTGTTATTAATATATAATTTACATAGTTTGTTAATTTATTATATACTATATATATAGAGCTTGATACAGTCTCAGTGACTGAATAATTAATGTAGTTATCTAATAGTATCTTAATATAAGAAATTATAATATATAAGTTTAAAATCTGTAGAGAATATATTAAATTCAGAACTTAAGTATCTCAGATTTTTAATAAATACAGAGATATACAAATTACTTTAATAAATTACTCTATGTTTCTAAGCTGAGAAGCTATTATTATATGTATTTAATTATCACTTCTTTGTATTTTTCTATATTCTGTTATTTTAGTGTAATCTTAACATCTGTATTTTCTTCTGTATAATTAACACTTAACATGTATTTAATATTATGCAAGAACATATTATAAGCTCTGCTTGTATATAAGTATAGTAAAAGAATAATAATAATAATAATAATAATAATAGCTTTATATACTGAGACTGTATTAAGTATTATAATCTGATATAGTATTAAACTGACTATGTAACTATATCTAAAATCAGAATTAAAATATTTAATAATCTTATTATTAATTTAACTAATCTTATTACATAATATTAAGATTAGATAGTAGTCTTATACTATCTCAGTGAAACTTACTATCTACTCTTATTACATTTTTCAAATGAGACTATAATTTTCACTTCTCAATTTAAATTTATTATATTACTTTAAATAACTTTAGATCTTATTGAAGTGTTATTAAAAAATCATTATGTTTTAAAAAATTAAAATATGGCAGGCTGCGCTCAATTAATTATATAGACTATTTCATTACACTTCACAGATTTTACTGAAAGCTTCAATTCTCAGTCACTGATTCTCAGCTGAAAAACTTATGAAATTTCTATTCTTCTGCTCTGAAGCTTCACTGTATATAGACTGATCATGTGACCGTGTCTGAGATCAGAACTAGATTTTTTGATAGTCTTATTATCAATTCAACTGATCTCATTACATGGTTTTAACATTAGATAGTAGTTTCATACTGTCTCAGTGAGACTTACTGTCTACTCTTATCACATTTTCTAAATAAGACCATGATTTTCACTTCTCAATTTAAATTATTTTTATTGCTTTAAATGACTTTAAATCTCATTTAAGTGTTATCAAAAAGTGTTACTTTTTAAAAAATTAAAAATATTCTAAAAAACCTTAAAATGTCTAAAAATAGTAACTGTATGCTAAGAATGAAACTAAATGAGATTAAATGAGATTACTTTCTCATTTTTTTCAAGTCATAGTTTCATTTTAAGATCTGATATATAGTTACTAGACTGACCGTGTGACCGTGTCTGAGACCAGAATCAGATTTTTTGATAGTTTCATTACCAATTTGACTGATCCTATTACACGGTTTTAACATTAGATAGTAGTCTCATACTGTTTCAGTGAGACTTACTGTCTACTCTTGTCACATTTTCCAAATAAGATCATGATTTCCACTTCTTAATTTAAATTATTTTTATTGCTTTAAATGACTTTAAATCTCATTTGAGTGTTATCAAAAAGCATTACTTTTTAAAAAATTAAAAATAGTCTAAAAAAAACCTTAAAATGTCTAAAAATAGTAACTTTATGCCAAGAATGGGACTAAATGAGACCAAATGAGACCACTTTCTCATTTTTTTCAAGTCATAGTTTCATTTTAAGATCTGATATATAGTCACTTTGCATGTTTTTTTGATGGCTAGTCCCAGCGGGATTCATGCCAAGAAATGTATGGGACCAGACCAAATGAGATCAAATGTGAAATTCATGGTCCCGGCGGCCAGTCTAATAGTTACTTTGCATGTTTTTTTAATAACTAGTCTCAGCGGGATTCACGCTAAGAAATGTATGAGAGCAGATCAAATGAAATCAAATGTGAAATTCATAGTCTCAGCGGCCAGTCTAACTGTGTATAAATATTCACTTTAATTATTAATTCTCACATCTTCTCTTTCTTTTCTTCTCTAATGTTTTTCACTTTTGTATTATAAGATCTATATATTATATCAATCTATTCAGTGTAGATCTCTTACACTTGAAAAACATTCATCATATTCTTATTAGAAATGATTATTCATTGAGAAGATATTTAAACATATAATAACATGTAAGAAAGAGAGAAATAATTAATCAGTTAAGTAAACACTGAGTTTCTATATAGAAGCTCACTTATCAGTTACTCTGACTCTGCAACAAGATCTTATAAGAGAATATCAGTGAAAGATCTGAGAGTCTTGATAACTTAGATATATAAGATATTTATATGATTACATTCTTCTGATTCTGCAGATAACACATATCTGATAAATGATACAGCTATGTCTACTAATAATATAAGAGAATTCTTAAACATAAGCATAGATGCAGTGTCACAGTGACTTTAAGCAATGTTGAAATTACAACAGCAATAGATAGCTGATATGCATGTAACTCAACAATGTCAATATGAGAAAATTCAACAATTATCTCAACTAGAAACCTGTGTATAAGTAATTTCAACACTGATTAAATCAGATATAAATATGTAAGTGCTGAAGAAATGTCTAGATACTTCTGCATATTTTAATACTTCTGATCTCACTCTCTATTCATCATGAAGATTGGAAATGCTCATGAAACTAAGTATAGATAAAGATGTCATCAGTTCATTAATCAATCAAGATTGATATATCAATGAATAATTGAAGAATCACACAAGACAGAAGTTTCATTCATGAATAAAAGTATGTAAATCAGTATCATGAATATCTAACAATATCATCAAATATCTTGATATTCTGTTTCAAGACACTGCTATGTAACAGAAAGTGTTAGATTGATTATAGAGTGTCTAACAGAGAAATACTTCTCTCACAACATTTATTTCTAACTTCAATATCAAGATTCTAGAAGCAGGTGATCAATCTTTAGAGAATTAAATGAAGATTAATATGCTCAAGAAGACATTAACTTTTGAACTCTTACAGACTTCTATAAGTGTAGATGAAGACTAGACTTATAAAGATTTCTATGTACAACTCTGAACATTGAATAACTGTCTTATCAAGCTCAAGAGTATACAGAACAGTGACAGAAGACATTATATCTCAGTCACTTATACACTTGTACTGAGGAATAACAACAATGATGCAGATGTAATGAACTGAGTAGACTTAAATATCTATACATAAGTAAGAGTCTCTGCTGTCTGAACAGACTTCTGAGTTTCTGAGATCACTTCTGAAGAAGTTACTGATTAATATCAATAAGAAGTGTGTATTAACTGTAACTGATCAGAATATATTACTTTCAACTGCTGATCAGCCTATATATCTTCTCATTTAAAGAAAGATTAATATCCGCAGTCTGTATCAATCACATTACACTGAAGAAAGATTCAGAAGATAACTATAAGAATACTCTAATAAAACAGGGAAAAGATTAGCTTCTATTCAAATTTATAAATAAAAGCTTGAAGAGATCAGATAACAATAATTTGAAGAGAAAATAATAATAAATGTAATTCTTATATCTACTGTGATCAATAATATGTATAATATGAAAGTTATGATAGATAGCAGTCTATATCACTATGTAATAATTAAATCTTCAGTTATAAAATGTTATAATCTTCAGTATATTCTCTTATCAAAACTCTGACTTCTTGCAGAATTTAATGATTTAAAACACATTTACATCTATTACATAATAAAACTAAATATAGATATTAAAGAATATCAATGTGAAAATACTTACATATATAAAGTTAATAATCTTAATTATAATTTTATA